ACACATTTAGAATAAAAATTGGCAGTATATTACTGTCCTAATTATTTGGTTTGCTTGACTCTGAACGGAGGTTTTTTGTTTCAAAAAAAAATTATAGACAATTTTAGAAAGCTAAATTTCATCGGACAACCCACTTGTCCGATTGCCCAACCCTGGCATGTCAAATTCTAGTTTTGATGTTATAGGCATGTCATGGCATTCCAGATAGGGGGTCAGTTAAATCGATATATAATCTGATACTAAATTTGGATTATTTTAAAATAGTAATTTAAATAGTTATTGTAGCGGCTTATGCTAAGATTGGCTTATGCTGAGATTTGGGGTCCTCATTTAAATTTCTAATATATAGCTACTAAAATCCATATATAATTTTTATTATAAATACTAACAATAATTTCTAACCTAACTATAAAAAAAGGACTACAAAAAAGGCCCAAAAATTTTTGTAATTTTGATAATGAAATCTTGTAAGAGAGTTGTATACTCTTTTCTTGTAGAAGGATTAAATTAAATTTCAATAAAGACAGAGACATGGTCTCACCATTAATATTCAAAAAAATTTTGATAATAAAATAAGTCAAATTCCCAGCATAAACCAATTTTAGCATAAGCTGCCACATTAATTCTAATGGCATGCCTTTTGGTTCTATGGCATGCCAAAGACCCTCATGCCAAGAACCTATTAGCTAGTGAGACGTATCATATAAGTGACTATTTTAGTTTTGCGCATGCCCTATGGCATGCCATGCCCATGACCGCCATGCCACACACCCTAATTGTAAGTCCTCCGCTACGCTTCGGACAATAATTATATGGTGTTTAATACCACTAGTACGATTTATAATAATTATTAATTTTTTCAAAAAATTTATTAGTTATTAAATTTGGTTAGATAGTTAAGATATTTTAATTTAAAAATTAAAAATTTGTTTAAATTTTTTCAATATATAGTAAACCATTTGTAGTTAATTTAAACCATTTTATTATATACTATATAATTAAATATAATACTAAGAAAGTATTATACAAAACAAGCAAATGTTTTTTTATAATTTATTCACTTTCTTTATATGCAATGTCAAGCAAAGACCATCCAACTAAATCCCATGGTGCAATTCTGATAGCTCGCTGAGCGACTTCTAATGCATTTAACCCAAGTTTCTCATATTCCTCTTTTAACTCTTTATTCTTATCGTCTTTTTTGCCCTTTTTAATTTCCGTATTATTATCCTCAATCTCATCAAATGAATCTTGAATTATGCTACTATCACTTATATCTTCTCCAGTTGTGATTAAATCTTGTTTAATTGCTCGTCTAGAAATCAACAAAGAAGATGCATAATTTTGATATACCTTTGCTTTTTCTTTAGTTGTCAATTGTTTAGATAAAGAAGATAATGGGTTTGATATCAATTCTATTGCAGAACCAGCTATTGAAGCAGAAGTAAATGGAATCGAAAGAGAGATAAGATGATTTGATAAGTTAATCCAATTTATTAGTTCATAAGGTCTAAGGAGAACTGATTTAGAAAGAGATTGCGTAGCTTCTTCAGGTGAATTCTGAAAAAAAAAACAAAAAAATCGATTAGTTAATAGACTTGTAATATGTATAACCAAACATAAATTGTTCACCTGTAGCAAGAAATATCTACTAAACAAGAAATCTATATCACGCCCCCTGTCCAATTTGTCTTGATTTCAGACAATAAAGTAAATAATTAATGTTATATAAATACCCTCAAAAACAACCAAGAGATAATAAACCTTCCCGAACTGCCAAACTTTCATTAGAAGTTCGAGAAAGACTCTCTTAGTAAGAATTAACAATACGTGTGATTTATAAGGGGTACAGTCAAACATCCCTAAATACATCCTCTATAAGTGAAGATCCTTTCTAAATACACAATTTTGGTTCCAAGCTCGGGACTTAGTGCTAAATGCACACCTCTATTACCTGCAAGCGCACAAGTTTCTGAAACCCAGGCATATGTGTATTTACCGTAAATGCACAAACGTGATAGTGACCAATAAATACGGATTTTATAATAGAATTTATACCCTCTCTAAATGCACACCTTACTTGGTTCTAAAGACATGCACTTAGTGAGGTTTAAGATAATCACGCGTATATTTTATTGGCTATTTGAATTTCCATAACTACACACCTTCTCTAAACAAACACTTCCCCAGCCCCAAAGGAGTGCACCTAGTGAGGTTTGACTGTATATACCGTAAATGTAAAAGTGCTCATTTTTCGGAAAAATTTGATAATTAGATCTCATTAAATGTCTTGCAATAAATTACAAACTATGCATCCTTTGATAAGCGCACATGAAACATTTAATAAATAACCTATATAAACGTAGACCACCTTTAAATGAGTGCTGCAAGGGAAAAGGGAACACCCGACATTATACTATAAATTTTTCAAAGATATCTTAACAACCACTTGATCAAATTTAATAAAATTTTTTTATTTGAATTCTACAGATCTGTAAAATTCAAATAAAAAAAATTTTATTAAATTTGATCAAGTGGTAGTTAAGATATCTTTGAATAATTTTATAGTATAATGCCGGGTGTTCCCTTTTCCTTCAAATGCAATTAAGTAATGTTTCAAGAGAACTTGCATTTAGGGAGGTCCGACGATAAGTAATAAATAAATTAACAAGTGCAAATTCTTACCAACAACTTTAATAGGTAATTTAACCATCTCTCTTAATGCAGCAGTAGCCAGTGTATTATCACCTTGCAACATCCCTATAGCACACAGACTAAATATAGCAGGAAGATTTTGTGGATTTTGTGAAATACTATTAAGTGTCAAAATAAATTAATATTATTACACCGATAAAATATGCAAAAAAAATATAAAGTAATATTATTAAACAAATAACAACTAACCATTTGAACAATTGTTCTTTTGCCAGGTTTTTGTGCTCGACACCACCTAATGCCCAAAGTACTTGTGACACCAAAACAATTACATCTTTCTTAACTTCTGCAACGTTTGATTCCTGTTCAGGATCATCAGCTGCATTAAGAGCGTCTTCAAACATTTGAAGGGAATTCTCTAATTCTTCGTTAAAATAATAAGCAAGTCCAGCTCCTAACATTGTATAAATTTTAAATGATGCCATCGAAGTTGATGAACCATTCTTTTGTTGCTCAATCAATTTCAAAGCTTCCGTATATGCTATGATGGAACTAGAAAAACTACGTGTTGCACAAAGTACTCTCCCAAGATTTCCGTGTGCGTATGCAAACCTTCGTAATAACATTATCTGTCTAGATCGCGATTCTTGTGAATCTTCAGATAGTGCCCCCGAATGGGATGCTGACTGCCGTTCCTTTTTAAATGATTTTTTAATTGCAACGATCACATCATTGAATGCATCAACGGCTCTATCTGGTCGATTAAGTCGTTCAAACAATAAGCCTAATAGATTTAGTGATGCAGCATCGTCCGGTTTTTGTTCTGAAAGTTTTTGCAACGCAAAAGTGGGTGACATTAACAAAGCTTTGTGCACTGATGGAGAATTTTTGTATCGTGTAAATGCCTGATATGCAAAACCATAATCCGCTTCAAGCTATAAAAAAATAAAATAAAATAAAATAAAATTATACTCATGGTTAATAAGTAGATTAATGAAATCAGAAGAAATTGTCTGGAACTGATAACATACTGAATGACCACCACCACTAATTTCATAAGCATGTTCAAACAATTCTGCAGACTCATTACTTCCCCAAAGATTTGCAACATAAGCTTGTCCAACCCACGCTGGTGCATAATCCGGATCAAGAGATTGAGCCGTTGAAAATGCTTGATTAGCAAGGTCCAGGTCTGAATGTAATAAATATAAGAGCCCAAGATTTGTCCACGGCACAGGACTCTAGATTAACGTGAATACGTTATTATCACACCATTTAACAAAGTTTAAGCATAATAATTCACACACATACTTTTGTAGAATAATCAATTGCCTTAATGAACGCGTGTTGGCTAATTTTAGTATCTGCCAAAAGAGTCATAACACCAAGCGAATTCCAAAACTGAAAATTCGTTGGTTCAAATTTCAATGCTATCTTAATGCACCTAATTCCAATACTTAAATAATTTGTCACTGATGTTTCATAGACGTGATCATCTACATTCCCTCCAATATTCTTAGAATAATGTTCATACGATTTATAATAAGCTACACCCAGATCATACCACAATGCAGGAGCAGTTTCAGGTCGATTTCCACTCAATATTATGCCATATTTGTATGAGAGACAACCACAAATTAGAATGATCTGAAGCATGTCGGAATTTGTTATACTATCTTTGTCAGAATCTAAATATAGATTATATCCAAGATTATCAATATCTTTGGGAAAATGTAATTTAGCATCTATATCCAGTTTTTTAGCAATTTCTATAAGGCTTTTAATTGGGGCCAAAGGTATTAAATGTAAATAGTTTGGCAATGATATCGAAGTGATGCAAAAATCACCGATTAATTTCCAAAGACACAGATATTTACTGTTTGTCTCTATAGCACGTGCTACTATTGCGACGCCATGACCTATTGATTCAGCTGCACGACCGTAAAATCCAGTGTGAAAATATTCTCTGGATAAAGACAGATAACAATTTCCAAGACCTTCCAATGAAGGCATGTGATCTTGTTCACCTTTAAGTTCCGCTTTTTCGAGAGTCAAATTATATTGATCGATTGCTTCAGTATACATGCCCAATTTTTGCTTTATTGTAGCAATTTGATAATGAGTATATACTGATGAAGGATCCAACTCAGCTGCGTGCAAAAAAGCTTTCATTGAAGACATATATCGACCTTCATGACGATAAGCTTCTGCAAGTCCTTCCCAGCAACGGATATCCTTAGTATCAGTTCTCAAAGCGGTCTGAAAATCTGTTATTGCTTCTGAATAATTTCCTTTGCCCTATATTTGAGAAATTTAAATTATTCATATAAAATTAAAAGAACTCAGAAATCAATAAATTATCGTAATGCACTGACTAAAGATCTGAAGTCTAACGCAAAATATCAAACAAAACTCATAAAACATCCGGATATATAGAACAGAAGATTCATATCGTAAAAAGAAAATTATATTAATATTATTTATAATAAGCAGTCCAGAATTCTGAAAAATCCTGCGATTGATTAATAAAAATCCTGTTGTTTTGCACCGGACATTTTACAGGGAATGCCGAAAAAAGGTACCTTAATCAGTGCACTACAATGTACAAATCTATTACCAACTCCGTAAACCCCAATCGTTTCCAGGCCCATCCAGCTTTACGATTTGCTTGAATTACAGTACGATATATGCCTTCCGCAATATTCCCTTCGCCTTCCGACTGGAAATATTCGCTTAATTCTGATGCTGCTTCTTCATCACACGCATCAATAGAAAATGCTTTTTGATAGCATTTCTTTGCGCGCCCATGATCATGCTCGATAATTCGGTAATAATGTCCGAGATATGTAAACGATTTCGCAAAGTGTGGATCAAGCTTTACTGATTTGATGAACTGTGCGTATGCGTAGTTCTTATCTTTACGGTGTTGTTCTGTTAAACAATGTAAATTCATCTTTATTGAATCTTTATCATATTAACATTTAATTTAAATAGGACTCATACCTCCCATGGCCCAATATATTCTACCTAAACGATAAAAACAAAGTGCACTTTCATCATACATGTCAATAGCATCCAGAGTCAATTTAATAGCTTCTTCATAGTTCTCTGTTAAAAAATGGATCCATCCTATTTCACTTTTAGCTATATAATTTTCTGAGTCAAGTTGTAATATCTTTTCAAATATTTCAATGGATTTTTCGAATTGCTTTTGCACTGACAATATCATTCCAACTCCCTATTCAAAATAGAATTTTAAGATCAATTAATTATAATTAACATATAAGAACTGCTAAGTATATCACCTGAAGGGCAAGGACATGATCAGGTTCTTTATGCAAAATTTTTTGATAAAGCTGTAATGCATCCAGATGATACTTGACATCGATATTAAGATAGCAATTTGCCATACACAATTCTAAAGATTGTAAAACTCTAGCAAAAAAAAAATAAAATAAATTGTTTAGTAAATGTAAGATATTCTGGATCGTTTTCTCAAATTTCCTACCTATCTAACTCGCATCCTATGCTTTTACTGTACTTAATCACTACATTACGACCATTATTTGTATATTCTAGAGCTAATTCATAATCTTTGTAATTGTGATTTAACCAACTCAATACAAGATTACCAAATATGCTATTTGAATTTTCAAATTCATCCTAATTGAGTAGAATGTTAGCTAGACTACCAATGAGTTTACAATACAAAAGCTGTTAATTACTGAATTATATACAATTAATTGCTCGTTATCTTCGGTATCGTCATCTTGTTTAGATTTGAAATATATTCGAATGATTTTGGACAATTCAGCATCCGGAAACTTTTCAGAATATTGTTTCAACATATTAATATCATATTCATCTAATTAAAATTCAAATAAATATATTATTTGAAAGTTTATTTCTATTCGTATTATGGACCAACCTATTACCTGTGGAGCCAGCATTGGTGCTTTCAATAAGTATTTCATAAGGTATAGGTGAGGTTGTATCTTGTTCGACAAGCTTTCGAGCCAGCCTAAAAAGTTTTCCTCTCAACTACAAGTATTCATCGAATATATAAACACCAATTTCGATAATACAAGAACATAATTATAATACGAAATTACAATACAAAGATGGACGCACCGTTTGTTTATTTTCTGAAGGGACTGAAACAAGTTTCTTTCGAAGGTGCTCGATATATTTGACCAACAAATCTGCGATGTTTACTCCGGAAATATTTGAATCATCCGCGATTTCTAATAAAGAGTCATAAAAATTTTCCAACTAATAAAATAAGGATTTCAATCCGTATTGTGTGACAAAATAATTAAGGGTCAAAACAGAATTCACATTTAAACATACTTCAGAATTACTATAAACTTCGCTTTCAACTTGAGCTTTAATGCTAGCCTGCGAACCAGCGTTAAGTCTTTTTCTCCTAGTTTCAATCTCGTGATGAATCCTTTCTGTTTCTTCTTTTTCCAATAACTCGATCATTTGTAGTAATATTTGTGTTTGTGATGGTAAATTATTAAGGTTTCGAACAGTTTCATAAAAGGGACTCAATGGTAAATAATATTTTAGAGTTGAGACCAGCTAGAAAATAATTGTTCAGCTTTCGCATAATTAAGATTGAAAATGAAGTCTCTTCATATAAGAGGTCTAAATACCAATTTCCGATCTTTTTCTTTATTTGTATATAAATCAACGAGTTTATTAATAATATCTAAAGTTTTCTGTGCATCTTTACTGTGTTTAAAGAAATGAACTATTTTAGATTCAAGTAAAGAGAGCCTTTTACAACTAAAAATTAAGATGTTAAAAACCTTTCATTATATATTTTCAATAATTGGGCCCAAGTTTCTGCCAGGTTAGTCCAATCCTCTTGTTTTTCATAAAAATTTGCAAGGCCCTATTTAAGTGCAACAGTTAGACTATAAATAATAGATAACTGTTAATTTGAATTACCTGCCAAGCAAGCGGTTGTGAAGCATTTATTTCAATAGCACGAAGATAAGCCTGTTTGCTTTCATCGAGTCGTTGCAAATTTAAATGCGAAATTCCGAGAAACACATATCTAAACATCGATGATATAAAATGAAAACAAGTCAACACGAAATTTACAAGTTAAATGTAAATGGGCGCCAGAAGTTTACTTACGCGTTATAATTATCGGCCTCAAATTGTAAAACCTTTTCACAATGTTTTATTGCTTCTTCATATTTCTTGGCATTAATTGATTCTCGCGCATTTTTCAATGCATTTTTAATATAACTCATTTTTCTTAATTTGAAAACAGGTGAAAAATTTAGCAGATCACATCCAAATATCTAGTGTTCTTCACGGGACGGTTCGGATTGATTAGAGTAGCGGAGAAACAAAAATTCCGCAGATCGGCCCAAATTATGGGTCGGATTTAGGCCGGCATTAAGAAATAACAACATCTGGGCAGCTTTACTTAGTGAGTCGAGGTAGGACCGTCCATGTTACACAAGCGATCCCAATTGATAAAAATTTTTTTTTATACGTTTTACAATACTTTTTTCGGAAGCTCGGGTAGATTATCTCTTCTGTGAAACGGGAAAAGTGTACTAAGTGAACTTGAAGCTTTTGCACTGCCCTACAACATATTCGCTGAATCCATCTGAATCCAACC